CGTTCGAAGTCGGGTGCCTTGGTCCCGTCCTGCGGGGGGGGGGGGGGGCAGGGATAGGGTTATAATATATGTTTCAAGTATTGTGTGTAGCCGCGAAGGAGGGGTCAACGTAGCGTAACGCGGTGACAATATTCCGGACTAGGCCACTTGACACGTGAAGGTAGCAGGGTTTTTTGAGCAACCAACTTGGACCCTCGTACAGGCAAAGCTCCTGACTCCTGGCCTTACTGCAGTTCCACAACACGGAAAATAAACAAGTACAGAGGCGAGAGACAGGTCTAGAGAACTCTCTCTAGTACAATCGCCACCCCTCAACCACAGGGAACGCCATCCTCGAAAAATCGAAAACCATCAGCCTCGTATCACACCTGCTGTGCCTCGCAATCTCTCTCCCTCTCTCCCCACTCCCCCATCTCAATGCTCTGTCCTGTGAACGCGTGGTCAATGTCCAACAAACTAAGGCATACAAAACATGAAGTACGCCCCCCCCCCTCACTGGGCACCAACACAATAATTGCTCTTTCTCCTCCTCACCGGAAAAATAAATCCCTCGCATGACCCGCTCTTTTTAATCTCCCCCCCTCGGTGTTTGTCATCGGGGTTGGGTTTTCGTTTTTTTAGCAACGATGTTGTACAACAAGCCATCCCCCCTGGTGTTTTACATCGGGTTGGGTTTTCGTCATTTGGCAACGACGTTGTCAAACAAGCCGATCACGTCGTGAGCTCGGCAACCAGGTTACCGCTTTTTTCTTTACTTTATTTATTTATTTTTTTTGCGGTAACCATAATGGTGGGTGAGTAGATGATGTTGTGCGGGGTCGAGAACCCTCACTCCGCGCAAGGGGGATGATCGCACCACGTTGTGTTAAAATGGCCAAGCACTGAAAATAAATCAAGTCATTCGCAGCTGTCATCCGTACGCAAGGAAATAAGAAATAAACACAAGATGCTTTTTTTTTTTTTGGCGGTAACCATAATGGTGGTCGAGTAGATCATGTTGTGCGGGGTCGAGAACCCTCACTCCGCGCAAGGGAGATGATCGCACCACGTTGTGTTAAAATGGTCAAGCGTCCTCGAGGCAGTTACACAGTGCTTACAACTGTCTCTGGAAGTGAAAGCACCAGAAAATAAATTAAGTCATATGCAGCTGTCATCCGTACGCAAGGAAGTAAGCACAAGATGCCGAACACCCTTAGCAGGATGCAGCTCACCCTTCATGCGACTCGCCGAATACCTCACGGCGCTTCGCGCTTGGTGATGTGAGAGCCTGGTCCGGTGAGAACCCGGCGTGCTCCGTCCCGGCTTTGTAGGGATGCGAGGTCAATGGTCTAACGACTACGGCATGCACGACTATGAGTACACCCCCCGCCCCCCCCTCTTTCTCTCTCTGCGCACCCCCACAGGTAGGGTTGCAACAACTACTCTTTCCCCCTGCTCCTCACCCTCCTCGCCCGAAGAAGAAAAGGCTCGCATGACCCCGGGAGCCCCCGCCATCCTCCCTCTCGCCACCACGGGCCCCTCTCCTTCCCCTTCTTCTTCTTCTTCTTGTCCCCGAGGGGGCTTCATCTTCCCGCGGCGGCGGGAACGCTCGATCACCATCCGCAGGTCCGGCAGGTTGGCTGTATCCCGAGGCAACATCAAATAGGGGGGGGGGGGGGGGGGGGTACTCTTTTTTTTTGGCTGCCCTACCGGTTAAACCATTGACCCCCCCCCCCCCAAAGGAGGGGGCTTTTTTCCCCCAGGACCGATCCCCAAAAATGGGGGGGGGGGGGGGCCCCGAAATTTTCTCGCCAAAAAATCCTTTAAAAAAATAA